TGCTTTATTTCCCATTTATTCGTAATGACTATTTATTTTGTGAAATGAGATAGGATAATAAAAGTCTTACTACTGTAAGTGGAACTGAGTATAATGTATGCACAATCTTTGGATCTACAGTGTGATTTAGAGACCAGTGAATGAGGGCAGATGTTTGAAATTCTGGTGAGGAAGTTTTGCTTAATCAGGCCAGAAGCACATCAAGGAGCTCCACTTCTGTGGTGACCTGCAGGCTGTACACTCATAGTATGTTATGGACATAATTATTTGTGAGTTCGACAATCTTTATTTTTAGACCTGATACTTCCTTTGGTTTATTTCTTAAGACTGAGTTGGCTACAATTATATTAGCAAACTATATAAAATCCTTTCCCTTATTAAGTATAAGTAATTGTAAAGGAAACTTGCTATGAAACCCATGCTAGCAGACAAATACAAATAGGGTGGGCCAAATAATTGCTTGTATAAATGTATCTCCATTGATACTAGCAATGCCCCTTGACATCAGCAAAAATTTTGGCCCCTTTCAGCATTTTGTCTGGTTTTGGTTTGTCTGCTGGTATTGATTTTACAGCAATTCACAAATCAAGATGGAAAGTGATGTAGATTTTGTAACTACAGCTTTAGTTGCTATGTATCTCTAGTACTCCTAATGAGAGCTGTGAGAAATGCTGAAAGAGAAATTAAATATCTTCAAAATAATGTGGAACATGCAAAAAGAAGAAACAATCAATTTAAAAAAAAAAAAAATCCCTCAAAGAATTGTTGGTGTAGGAAGTCTCAAATGTAGCTTCAACTTAGTCTCTAAATGTGCTGATGAAGAGAGGCCAGGCAGGTGTGAAGTGCAGTGCTCCAGACGTGCCTCCTGCCTCGCCAGGCACGGGCTGCTTGTGGTCAGTGCTGCGAGCCAGACATAAGGGATCTACAAAGCAGTTCCTTAGGTGTGCAAGTATTCTGAATGTAAAGAGGCAGGAGAGGAAAGGCACAAGCTTTGTGTCGTGAAAAGAGTAAAGGTAATTTTGAGGGTAAGAAAAGATGATGTGTCTCCTGGAAAAAAGTCTTGCTGTGTGGTTATACTTGGTTTAGTCGCATATTTGATAGCGAGTGTTGTGCCTCAGGAGGCAACAGTCAAGACTTTTTTTTGGGAAAGAGAAAATTTAGGGGAGATTTATCCCAAAGCAACTTCCAGGCCTGAGCCAATATTCACTTTATTGAAGATTAGTCATGTATTGGGTGTCAAAGGAGAGGCTTTGGTAGCTGGGGGGCTGCAGAGGCACGGTTCCAGCCGGTTCCAACCGACCCAGCGCGGGCACAGCTGAGCGCCTCAGCCGAGATTGTGCCAGTGGGAAAAGGGGTGCGAGAAGGGGCAAAATGCTGCACGTGCAGCAAGGACTGAGGGACCTGGGTGTGAGAAACAACCTCTGAACACTAAGGTCAGAAGGAGAGTAGGAGGTGCTGCGGCCGAGGTCCCCTGGAGGCTTTCATGGACCCCCAGGGAGCAGGTATTTCCCTGCAGCCTGTGGGAAGGATGTACAAGAGCAGATATCCACACTGCAGCCTGTGGAGAGACCACACTGGAGCAGGGTAAACGTGTGAGGAGGAAGCAGCAACAGAGAGGAACTGGTATGTACTGACCCCAGAGCCCTGCTCCCCAGCCCCTCTGTGCTGCTGAGGGTGAGGGAGGAGGTGAAGAGTGAGGAGTTCAGGAGTGGGGTTGAGACTGGGGAAAATAGGGCAGGAGGGAAGGAGTTTTAGTGTTTGTTTCTCACCATCTAATTTATTTATTTAATTTTTGCAAGAAATTAAATTTAATTTTACCAAACTCAAGTCTATTTTGCTTGTGTAAGTAATTGATAAGTAATCTCCCTGTCCTTATTTTGTCCCGTGAGCTTTTTCATCTTGCTTTTTCCTCCTGTCTTGTTGAGGAAGGGGAATTAGAGTGGCTGAGTGGAGATCTGGCAGGTCAACCCACCATACATGAACAGTCCTAAAAAATTAGTGGGGGAAAGGCTGGTCAGTAAAGATTTGAGATCATCAATATTTACCAGATAGAAGAGATTCAAAACAAAATCCAGGGGCTTGAACATACAGACAATTCAGTATTCTACTGTTGTTGGCTAGTTCTACTCACTTTCAACATGCTTGAATATACTGTCTTTGTCTGGGATGCAGTTAATTTTCTTCATAGCAGGCATATATTATGTTGTTTTGGATTTGTGGCTAAAGTGTTGATAACATACCAATGTTTTAGCTATTGCTGAACTTGCACATCATCAAGGCTTTTTCTTCCTCTCTGACTCTCCTCCCCACTCCAAGCTAATAGTCTGAGGATGCACAAGAAGCTGAGAGAGGACACAATGAAGACAACTGATCCTAACTGACCTGAGGGATATTCCATATCAAATTAAATCATGCTTAGAAATAGAAGCTGAGGGGAAAAAAATGAGGAAGAGGGGACATTTCAAGCTATGGGGTTTGGCTTTCAAGGTAACTGTTCAGCATGTTAAGTCCTTGTTTTCCAGGAAGTATATAGACATCCGCCTGCTGATGGGAAGTAGTGACTCAGTTCCTTATTTTGCTTTGCTTGAGCCCCAGCTTTGCTTCACCTATGAATTGTCTCTACTTCCAGCCACAGGTTTTCTTGCTTTTTTTCTTCTGATTCTTTCTTCCCATCCCACTGTGCAGGAGTCAGTAAGTGAGCAACGAGGTGTAGACTTAGCTGCCGGCCAGGCAACCCACCACATTAATTAGTTGGACCACTGCCAGACTGTGTCTTATTTTACAGGATTGCAAGCTACTCTTGTTTAATTCTGCTCCTGGCATGAACAGAGGTAGCAGCCTTATCTTCTTAGTGCACAGAGCTGGGAAACCCCAAAACAGAGCTTTATGTTCAACAGTTATGCAGGTACAGGAACATTTAGCTTTGTTCTGCCATTTTTGTTGCTGTTCAAGCATCAGCAATCTGTTCAGGTGTTTCAAATGGTGGAAGCTATGGTAACATCTGGTTTTCCTACAGGATCCCATCCAAATTTAGTGCCCAAAATAGATGCAGTAAAGAACATTTACGTTCATCATGCAGTGGTAAATGTAATATTTTCATATCCATAACATTGCAATTTAAATACCATTTTAATATAATTTTAAAGTAAAACATGCACTATGAGAAAGAAGGGTTGTCTTATTTTAAATGTTTACTTCATTCTCATATTGTGCTTTAGTAAACTAAAAATAGATGTGCATCATCAGGACCATTATTTTATCTCTATTCTATGCAGGCAACTTTTTACCTCAGTTTAGAGGATGTTGCTTTAATTTTAAGCATGAGAAGTCAGATGCATTCTGTGCATATTTTCTAACATGTTAATATTTCTCAAATAAAACAGTAACAATATTTTAATTTTAGTATCTATTTTTATTTTGCTCTATAAAGCTCTTCAGGATAGCTCTTGTAGTGTTAATCCTCATAATGGTGGAATCTTCAGCTTCTCAGTCTAATGGTTTTTATGGATATCTGCTTGAATTCCTATGTCATATTTTTGTACTACTACTTTGATTACTTCCTACTCATTGCCATCAAATTTGGAATTAAGCTTTGTTTTGCTGTGGTGTTACAGAGGCTGCTGCATCTTGTGTGGGACCTTGATTTTGCCTGTTTGATTTTTGTGATGATGTTTCAGCTGTACTTAATTCTTCCAAATCCTCTGTGTGGCAAGGCTGTGTTTCAACCAATTGTTTTTCCTTGTGCCCAGCATGGCTCATGTTTTGCTCCACTGAGGTTCCATGTACCATTTGAATTACCATGAGGTCTTCATTGGTCACAGGTGAAGGCTGCATTTCAAATGTCCTCTGTGCCATTGTGACTTGTCTGTTTTCAGTGTCTTCTGTACAGACAGCTTCATTCTTAAATCTCTGACTAAAGTTGTCTCTGGTAGAAGTCAATGGCTGAGACTCAAAATGGTTTATGCTTATTGTCACACTTCTTTTAAGCTCTTTCAGCTCAGACCTCTGCTGCAAGAAGTTAAGGAGATCCACTGGGTAGAGCTGCCTAAGTTTATCCAGGTTCTGTTCTTCCAGCATGTGCCTTAGCATCTTTACGGTACTGCTTGAAACTTCTCGGATGTGAGTTTCATCTGATGTTTGTTCCTCATCATGATAAATGGGAGATCTGGACGATTCAGTGCACTGGCAAGTTGCTGTCATTTCCAGTGGAGCTTTTGCATGAGCAGTGCTTCCATATTCATGGGATCTGGAGCAAATAATTACAGAAGTTGCAGTTCCATCCTGTTTTATCTTTGGTGTAGAATTTTCCTGTATTTTGCTTGCTGAAGTTGTAGCAGTAGAAGATAAACTAACAGTCGATGGCAATGTAATTTCCTGGTACGTACTTTCCATCTTTAGGGAACAAAAGTGGTTGTTTTTTTAAGAGTATAGTAACATAGAAAACAGTTTTTCTATTCTTCAAAAAAGCTAGTTCTACAAGGATATAAGCAATAAGTTTCTAATAAGATCAGGAAAAGCACAATCTGTCAGGTATTGTTCAGAAAGCATAAAACCAATCTTTTGAACTAAGAGCTGTGCTATTTGCACCATAGAATATGTGTGAGAAAAAATGTGGAATTCATACAAAATGCAAAATGATGATTGAACAGTCTTGGAGTTTTTGCAGCAACAAATGCAGACTTTGTGTTATAAGCATAATGTAAAGTTATGTGGTGGCTTATGCTCATTTTAATTTCTTCTGGAATTGACATTTTCTATGCTTCTGAGAATGTGTGGTGACAGCAATTATACATATTTACAGATTCAAAACAAGAAAAGAGGACACTATTCAGTAGAGGACAGGAATGCAAAAGTTTTTATAAAGATCTACTTTGAATTCTGTTTATCACGTACTATAAGTACTTGTTGAGTTTTCTAAGGTACTTTGTACTATGTTACGTGCACTTAATTCCTAAAGTTCGCATATTCCTACCACTTTTATAGGTTACATTTTTAATAACAGTCAAAGTAGGAATTCTGACTGCATGATGGACCAGTGTCTTAAATTCATCTCTACTAATTTGCATGAAGAAAGATCCCTCTTATAAAACCACAGACCTTTACTTCTTTTGCAGACGTTGCAGTTTCTCTGTCAGAGTGAACAGCCTTTTCCTGAGCTGTCCTTTCAATCTGCTCTTTTAAAATCTGTGTTACAGGCTTTGGGAGCTCTTCATTCTGAGCTGCATTGATTACTGCTATGGAAAGAAGAATAAAAAGATATTTTTTCTTCCACCCTACATGTTATGAAATTGACTTTATCAGTGAATTATAAAACATGATTGCATCAGAAAACTTGTACTTAGCCTTGCAGAAGTCTGGAGAGAACTTTGATCATGAACAGAAAACCATATAGAGGACAACAAAATATTTATTGAGGGACAAGTTACCACTTTCTGTTTTGCCACACCTGAGTGGTGTGGCAGGGCTAAAGGTTGACTGGGATCTGTGGGTAAATAAAATATGTGAATCCTCGTACCAGGGCTAAACTGCAGTAGCATCTTAACACTGTTTTCATGTCCTGCAGGGCTATTCAGTGCAGGTATAAATTGAGCCTTTCTCATCCACAATTTTGTATATACATGGACTCATGTTTGCCTGTGTTTTCAGACAATTCTTCAAGTACCCATTTCTTTCAAACAACTGAACACATATTTAAAACCACCTCATTATGCAAAAGCTGTCTTTATACTGACTTTTAAGTTGTTTCATAAGTTCCATTAAAGTCAATGAATGGGCCTTGCTGAGAATTGGGAGAACTGGGCACTTCCATGTTTGTATGCTAAGAGCAATACCTCTGTGGGAGTAAAGACTTTTTCTGTTGCTCATTTGTGAGCCACTTCTTACCTGTTTCGTCAGTGTGCTGAGTGAATGTAGAAGCCATTTTTATCTCATTAGTAACTTGCTCATGATGAAAAACCTGTGCAAAAAACTTTCATTTTACTACAGGATTTAGTGCAATATGTAAGAATTTTCCATACTTCTCCAACGGTATTTAAAATGTTACATCAAAGAAAAATATGGATGGGAAATCTAATTAATTACCATGCTAAACCAGTAATACATCAAAAACACTTAATAAAACACCTTTAAAAATTATTATTGTAAGACCTAATGAGGGAGGCTATCAGCAGAACATCCAGATCTTGCTGTACCATGTGGTAAAGGAGGAGGAAGCAAAGCAGGTATGTATTAGCATCTTAGCATAGCTATCCAATGACATCATGATTAAGTAGTTTAGTTACCTTTTGTGTTTGAGAGGCTTCCATTTGACTGTCTTTGGAGGTCATTTCATTGCACTTATCTTCCCTGGTGTTGCTTGGTACAGTGTACTGGCTGCTACTCGATGTTTCCTAAAGGCAAATAAAAATAATCACACATTAACAGCTAATAGTAGATGGGATTTTTCTTTTCTTTTTTTTTTTTTTTTTTTTCCTTTTTTTTTTTTTGCTTATGAAGGGCTTCCACATATGAATTCTATTCTAAATGGTATAGCTAGAACAGTCATTTTAAGCACAGTACTGTTGCTATTATGATTGATATTTGTTGCCATAAAAATTAAAACGGGGCTTTTTATAACAGAGGAGATGACAAGTCATTTCTGTATTTTTTTTTTTTTTTTTTTTTTTTTTTTTTTCCTTTTTTTTTTTTTGCTTATGAAGGGCTTCCACATATGAATTCTATTCTAAATGGTATAGCTAGAACAGTCATTTTAAGCACAGTACTGTTGCTATTATGATTGATATTTGTTGCCATAAAAATTAAAACGGGGCTTTTTATAACAGAGGAGATGACAAGTCATTTCTGTTACTGCAGACAGATTTTGACCAGCCAGTATAGAAACCTGCATGAATATGTACAATGTATACTCAGACTGGAAAGGGATGAAGGTGGCTAGGAAGGCTCGTTCTGGCTTTACATACTGTGTTACCTATCAGCAGCCATGAGATTAATGCAACTTTGTAAAAGGTATTATAATAATAGGTCTATATAAGAGATGCTGACTTCCTGCATATGCTTTATACAGCTCTGCCAATGAAAAAATCATGCTGAATTGCAGCTGTGAAAAATACGACCCTGAGGCTAACCAGCTCCTATAAAATATACAGGGTAGCATTGTGTCTGCAAGTCTGACAACTGCAGTGTGATAAACAGAGCACATCACTGAGCGCTTAAACACTGTGCAAGATGTCCATGTAAAATAGTTTCTGAGGTTGTCTATGTTTAGTTCAACTTTATATTCTGTCAGTTGTTTTCTTATTTAAAGCCTTTCACAGAACCTGTTTTACGACACATTACCTGTGTCCATGGAGTACTTTGAGATTTAGTGGTTAGAAAACACAAATCCTAAGGATTGATACTGTTAAGGTGTCAGTGCTGTGTTCCCTCTTTCTTGCACACTAGTGTGCACACAGAAGCATCAAACAATTTCACTCATGTCAAATGAAAATTTCTTCTTCCTTTGTGAGAAGGAAGCTTGACTATTAGTTTCTACTGATAAGAAGCCTTCAAATGAAAGGCTTGTGTCCCTCCAGCTGGAACTTCCCAAGTGTTCAATATAATGTGAACGTGAAGGGAAGCAGCACTGTGTTTCTGAGATTACTGCTGTACATCTAGTGC